GAGGTGACTCAGGGTTGGGTTTTGACGTCTGTTCAGGGCTTAGCCTTTTCTTCAGCCTTTGTTCTAGAACATTGAGGTGACAGTGGAAACGTCCCTGCTGCCGGAAGAAAACACAATTAGCAGTGGTATTTTGCTAGGATGCTGGGGGATCTGCCTTTTATCCAAGTAATAAGAGCCAGGTCGTTGTGGGAGGACTGGAAAAGTCAGCTATCATTTTTAAAAACAACAACTCTTCCTGCCAAAACAATGTTACATTGGCTATATTTTTTCTAAATAGGATAATACAAAAGAAGCATAATAAGAATGAACCCTTATAACCCCGTGTTGCAAAAATAGCCGTTGTTAGTACAATGGTGCTTGTTTTTCTTTCACATTTTACATAAAGATATGTTTTTAAACGAAATTAGGACGATGACAGGAAACCCCAATTGAAGCCGTCCTGGGTTCTGGGGTTCTATAGCTCTTTGTGATCCATTTTCTCTTTATAGTAGAGAATCTCATGAGTGTGCGTGTGTGTCTGTATGTGTCTGTGTGTCTCTCTGTGTATGTTTGTATGTATACGTATGTCTATGTGTGTTTGTGTATGTCTTTGTGCCTGTGTATGTGTGCGTCTGTGTGTATGTGTGTGTCTCTGTGTGTCTGTGTGTGTCTGTGTCTCTGTGTTTATGTCTCTGTATGTATATATGTGTGTGTGTGTGTATGTATGTATGTATGTGTGTGCCTGTGTGTGTGTGTGTGTCTCTGTGTGTCTGTGTGTGTCTGTGTCTCTATGTTTATGTCTCTGTATGTATATATGTGTGTGTGTGTGTATGTATGTATGTATGTGTGTGCCTGTGTGTGTGTGTGTGTGTGTGTGTGTGTGTGTGTATACACCAGAGGAGAACCTTGGGTGTCCTGTTCATTTATTCCTCTCCTAATCCCCTTTGGACAGGGCCTTTCACTAAACCTGAAGCAAGGCTAGAACCCAGTGAGCCCCAGCAATCCTCTTGTTTCCACACTTGCCATGGCGCTGGGGTCATAGGTGCCACACCCTACCTTTTATATGGGTGCTAGTGCTTTGAACTCATGTCCTCACGCGAACAGCAACCTCTCTTACCATCAAATCAACTCCCCAGCCGTTCTTTAGAGTCTTTATGTCCATTTGCAGAGGAGAAGCCTGAGGCTAGGATAGTCCATAGGAATGGTGATGACAAGGACCCGGGTGAAGTCTGCCTCCAGAGCCCTCAGTCTGGACTGTGCACCAGCAACTTCACAGTTTGTAGTATCCTGTGTCTCCTCAAATTATACAATATTCACCCTGTTTCCTCTCCCCCTGTTCTACAGATTGAGTGATAGAATCCCTCAAATCTGACTCAGTTTACCCAGAAACATCTAGTTAGTTCACACCATGCCGGAGGAAGCCCACATTCCCTCATGCACACAGTTTGTCTACATGCTGGCTGCAGGTGCTCTGGGGACCTCTGACCTCCTCCCACAGCCTGATTCTGAAAGCAGGTTGCACCATCCAGGGGCAGGCACCAATTCCAGGATAAACAAAGCAGAGAGGCCTCGGCTCTGTTCTTCACACATACTCTTTGTCTCAGTCGACAGCCGGGGGATCTGCGGGCATTGAGCAATGGATTCCTGGCCCTTACTTATCTGTGCAATGATCAGGCTTCATATAAAAGTCCAAAATGTGCACCTCCAACAATTCTGTTGCTCTTCAAACACAGTTATCTGAGATTTGCTGACAGGCAGTAAGACCAACTGACTTGAGCTTTAAGCACTGTTCCTTTCCCCAGCCTCAAGTCTTGAGGACATGCCAAGCATTGTTACAACTTTAAAGTAAGGCAAAAGTCAGTTGGCCTCCTGGGAGTAAACACGTCTCTGCATATAAGGCTGCTTGGGACCTGCAGTCTTTAAGATAGTCGGGCTCACCACATTGGGGCTACCTGGGTGGCTGACCAGCTCAGGGGTGGGGAGACCCAAAGAAAGATGAGCAGTGACTTCCTGCTGAGTTTTGCCAGGTAAATCATGAAACCTTTCTCTTCAGACATAGGAGAATTCTAAAACAAAATAATGTCAGTTGAGATATGTGTGTGTGTGTGTGTGTGTGTGTGTGTGTGTGTGTGTGTGTGTGTATGACCTTATATTTGAATTCCAAGAGGGCTAGAACAAGATACTCATGAAAAAGAAAATGACAAGAATGTTGTGTAACTAAGCCAAACTAATGGACACTGTTTGGATTCCCCTGGAGGGAAGCGTAACGTAGCTGTGATTGACAGGGTCCAGGGGTGCTTCTCCTCTGCTTTAAGCTTAATGTAGTTACACAATGTGTTCAGACTGTAAATGTTCATCATGTTTTATACTTACATATTGAGATCTTTCCTGAGTGTAAGCTCTACTTCACTTAAAGATTGAACGCCCTCATTTATGTTGTGTATATTGTCAGACAGTCATACCCAGGTTTCTTCTCAGTGGAGTCTGTTTGGAACAACCTGGGAACTAGGAAACAACTCTGTCTAGAATTGTCAGGGCCACAGGGCCAGAAGATGAGGCTACGCTGTTTGTTTATTTGTTTTTTAATTCTGTTAATCGGTATCTTGAATGACTTCAGGGTAGACTCCTTGAAATAAAGAATGATGTCACTTTGGTTGATCAGTTGTGGACAACCCTTTGTGAATAACGGAAGTGCTGGCCGAGGCTGGGTACAACTGTGACATCATCTCCCCCATTGTCCCTGTCCTGCAGAGGACTCGTAGTGAAAGTGCACGGCTGAGCAATTAAGAGCAGGAGCAAGCAGGACCACATGATAGCAGGGCAGTAAGAAGGCTCGCAGGACAAAGCAGCTTCTGCCGGCACTGGGAAGGCTTGAGGGAAGAGGCGTTGGAGTGGCTCTCAGAAGCACGGGAGGCCTTTGATAAGAAGTAGACGAGCGGGGAGCACTGTGAGAAAGTCCAGAGGATGCTCACAGTCTCCACTCACTGCCGACCGGCTCACTTAGGCTAAGTGGCCTCCCTCAACTGCAGCTGAGGCTTGAAAGGTGAGCTGGGATCTTGCCGTGGTAGTGTGATTTCAGGTGGGAGGCCTCGGGAACTCAGTCAGTTCCTCGGAAGGATGATTAGCTCTGGTACCTCCAGCAAAACATGGTTTCCAGCCTCCCTGGCTTGTACAGCCACCGTGAATTACCCTGTCTGTCTCAAATCAGCATTTTCTAGGTTTAGGGTATTTCTTTTCATTGTTCTCATTTGGACCCATTGCTGTTCCTGTTTGGTAACAAGCCGTGGGTACATAGCTTCTGTGAGCTCTCTTCTGTGATCACCTTCCTGGACACCTAAAGATCTCTGTGTACCTGACACGCCTTCCTGACCAAGCGCAGTCATGGCCCCTCTGTCGTCCTTCACAAACACCTTACTGTCTAGTCTCACAGTGACCTGGTGTTAATTTCCTTTCAGCTTGACTTGCGTGATCCTTCATGATAATCTCCCCCCAGAGAAAGCAGCAAGAAAGAATCTGCTTCATGGCAACTGTATGTGGGGGGGGGGGGGCAACTAACAAACCTACACACGTTTTGCAAGAGGCTTCACTGGTCAACGTTTGCCTACTGTAGGACTCCCTTCTTCCTGATAAGGCGCTAGGCAGGATTTAGGACGGTGACAAAGACTTCATACTTGGGTTGAAAGTAGTCTGTATTGAGTCTGGGTCACTCAAACCCTGTGAGGTCTGTTGGTTTAATTCCTTACTGACCTTTTGCTGCCAGAGCCCCCGATCCTTTACAAGGTGGGAAGAGGTAACTTCTCCCAGACGTTACCTTGCCTCCTGTTGGGTAATGGCATTATTCTTATCAAGGGGATGTTAACTTGACAGCTGAGATGTTCCAGATTAGTTATTATAATTGGAATTGGGTTCAGACTCTAGCATGGCTCATTTTTCATCCTCTGGGGGCAGTATCAGGATAATAGGGTGTGAGGACGCTTGGCGTCAGAGCCTGGTTCCATGGCACTCCGTTGCTAGATGTGTGTGTCTTTAGCATGTTTCTTGCTTGGCTTGGTAATAAGGATCAAACACGATAATCTCTAAGAACACATCAGCGAACTTGATGCGCAGGTGGGTTTTACCTCTCCCTTTTAGAGTACAAACTTCTAGTCCTGACCTGGATGCAGGACGGATGCTACTTTATAGTTTTTTTTTTTTTTTAACCTGGACAGCCTGTAAATGTGAAAGCAGGTGTCTGGCTGGCTTTGTATTATAGTAGTTCTCAACCTTTGGTCACAAGCCCTCTGGGATTGCCTATCAGATACTTAACATTACGATTCATGACAGTAGCAAAATTACAGGTATTTTTTGGTAATAACTTTTTGGTTGGGGGTCAGCACAATGGGAGGGACTGTATTAAACAGCTGCAGCTTTTGGACTATATTATCGTCTTCTGTGCACTTATTTTAATCACTGTGCTTGTAGTTTGGAATTATTTATTTTCATATAGAGATACCGGTGCATTATTCAATTATCAAAGTTAATCATGCCCCATACAGTTCTGTCACATCTGCTTAATGGTTCTATTAGAAAAATAATTTTCTTGATGGATGTTTCTGCGAGATACCCTCCCCTTCTTTCTTTTCTTTCTTGTCTTGTTAAATGACTGAGTTCTGAATGAGGGACTTTGCCCGCCATGAGACACATAGTGAGGGTCATGGCAAGCTTCCCAAGTCACATGGGAAACCAGAACTGACTGGCTTCCTCATTCTGATCTGCATTTTCTCCCCTGGCAACTAACAGTTACCGCCTACAGACAGCAGATTCAATATGCTGGAGATGTGATTTCGCATCACACAGGTATAGGACACAATTGAGCTGTCCCACCTTCTTCAGCTTGGAAGGATAGCGCAGAGTGTTCATCTTGTGGCACAAACCGTTGGAAAATCTAGGACTTAACAGATGTACCACATGCACACACAGTTCCCTCACACTGAATGGTCTCATTTACTTCAGGTGTCAATCGGGTTCTCCTTCTCTTTCAGGTGGAACGCCATGACATGAATACCCTCAGTCTACCCCTGAACATACGCCGAGGGGGGTCAGACACCAACCTCAACTTCGACGTCCCAGATGGCATCCTGGATTTTCACAAGGTCAAACTCAATGCAGACAGCCTGAAACAAAAAATCTTAAAGGTGACAGAACAGATAAAAATCGAGCAGACGTCCCGAGATGGGAACGTTGCCGAGTATCTGAAACTGGTCAGCAGCGCCGACAAGCAGCAGGCTGGGCGCATCAAGCAGGTCTTTGAGAAGAAGAACCAGAAATCAGCCCACTCCATTGCCCAGCTGCAGAAGAAGTTGGAACAGTATCATAGAAAGCTCAGGGAAATTGAACAGAATGGAGCGACCAGAAGCTCAAAGGACATTTCTAAAGACAGCGTGAAGGAGATACACCACTCTCTGAAGGAAGCCCACGTGAAATCCCGAACTGCTCCCCACTGCTTGGAGAGCAGTAAGTCGAGCATGCCAGGGGTATCCCTCACGCCCCCCGTGTTTGTCTTCAATAAGTCCAGAGAGTTTGCCAACTTGATCCGGAATAAGTTTGGCAGCGCAGACAACATTGCTCACTTGAAGAATTCCCTGGAAGAGTTCAGGCCCGAAGCTAGCCCCAGGGCTTACGGCGGAAGCGCTACCATCGTGAACAAGCCCAAGTATGGCAGTGATGACGAGTGTTCTAGTGGTACATCCGGCTCAGCTGACAGCAATGGGAACCAGTCCTTTGGGACTGGTGGGGCCAGCACCATGGACAGCCAGGGGAAGCTTGCCATGATCATAGAGGAACTGAGGGAGATCAAGGTTACCCAAACCCAGCTGGCAGAGGACATCGAGGCACTGAAGGTGCAGTTTAAGAGAGAATATGGCTTTATCTCTCAGACTCTGCAAGAGGAGAGATACAGGTACGTACGTGGAACACTCCCTCTGGGATTCCTTTAGAAGCACGAAGCAGAAGCCATCTGCTTCCAAGCTGATACATGTGTTTGCAATAGCTACCAATGTGGATGCAGAGACAGTTAAAGATTGATAATTCTTCCCATCCTTCATAATCCTAAATTCCATCATTTCTGGCTTATAGCTGACAATTAGAGGAAGACATTATATGTATGGGTCTCTTAAAATATCATTATCCAAGCCGTGACTCACATGCCTAGGAAGAAATTGATTCAGCAGACGTCTGTGATGGCCTTATTACACTAATTTAGAGACCTGTTTCCCTCCGTTATAGCAGACAAGTGGGGCTAATTCATTGGACAATGAGACAATGAGGTAGACTTTCATGTGGTATGTCAGTTTGAAATATACGTATTTTGTTTATTAACCTTTTTAAAACACACACACACACACACGGACTGGAGGGCTGGCTCTGTGGATAAAGTGCTTACCATGCAAGAATGAAGCCTTCAGTCCAGGTACCCGACACCCATGTAAATGTTGAACATGACAACACAGGTCTGTAACCACGGCACTTGGGGCAATAGAGACAGGCAGATCCTAGGCTAGACCTTGCTGGACAGATCCTAGGTTGGACCTTGCTGACCAGTCAGCCTAGTCAGATTCAGTGAGAGACCCAAAACACCTGGCATCAATCTCTGGCTTCCACACACACCCACATGCCCACATGTCACACACACACACACACACACACAAGCATTTTACTATAAATGAGTGGCTCTCAAATACCATCTTGAGATTAAAGGTTTTGTAGCCTGGCATTTAGGTGTTTATAGTTTTTTAAATATGAGATTGTTTGCCCCATTTTGCTCATATCCTCCCAAATGATTCTCATCAAAATGGGTTAACTTCTAAGAATGTAAAATAGATTATAAACGTTTATTGCATACTATAACATTTAAATTGTAAGGTTGGTTTTGTTTTGTTTTGTTTCGAGACAGGGTTTCTCTGTGTAGCCCTGGCTGTCCTGGAACTCACTCTGTAGACCAGGCTAGCCTCGAACTCAGAAATCTGCCTGCCTCTGCCTCCCAAGTGCTGGGATTAAAGGCGTGCGCCACCACTGCCCGGCTAAATTGTAAGTTTGACTTACACTTGATGTACAATTTTACCTCATTATTTAGAACGTGGCTGTTTCTCATTTTACAAAAGATTTTTGTGACGCCAAGATTTGAATCAAGGGCTTCATGCATCCTAGGCCTGTGTTGTACCACTGAGACCTAGTGCCAGCCTCACACCTCTGCTTTAATGTATCGTACGCAGCGTTGACTTAGCACGTTCATCTTACAAGAACTGTTTTTCTCTTTTTAAAATTTTTTAAATTTATTATTCTCTCATGTTTCATCCCGACTACAATTTCCCCACCCTCCCCTCCTCTAGTCTCTCCGCACACATACCCCACCCTGATCCATCTCTCTTCACCTCCCTTCAAAAAAGAGCAGGGCTTCCTGGGAAATCAAGCAAACACAGTGTAACCAGTTACAATAAACCAGGCACGTACCATCACATCGAGGCTGAGCGAGGCAACCCAGCAGGAGGAGAAGGGTCCCACAAGGAGGCAAAAGAGTCAGGGATAGACCCAGCTCCCACTCTTAGGGGTCCCACAAGAACACCAAGCCAAACAACCATAACATATATGCAGAGGACCCAGGCTAGACCTATGCAGGCTCCCTGATCTCTGCGAGCTCATTTAAGTCCTGGTCAGCTGATTATGTGGGCTGTGAAGAACTGTCATGGAGTCATGAGAATGTGTTGACCTTAACTTCATCCAGATCATTTGAGATACGGCATGTTTTGGATTCATGTCTTATCCCGAATCACAGATACTCCCTTGTGTGAGCCTTGGACTGCCTTTGCTTTCATGTGTCTGCATTTTGTGATCCCCGTGACATAGCCGTCAGGGTCATTCCTTAACAGGTTAAAAGGCTTACTTAGAACAATGATAACGTTTGGCACTCATGAAGCCAAGTCGGAAGATAACCATTAAATCTGAATTAAGCCTTTTCACCTATCAGATGGCCTACGTAAATATCTATAACTGGCATGGGTCAGTTGTTTCAGACTAAGACATCATCCTAAGATACTGCAGCCTCTTTAAGTTACTCAGAACAAAGTTTCAAATGGGACACAAATTCTCATCTCTGACGGTGGAAGCATCTTTTTCTAGCTTTTGGGTTTTTTGATATGCTATCCCATAAACCATTTATAATTTGTAATGAGCTTAATCTTAACCTGTTTCTTAAAAAGATATATTTATTTGTATTTTATGAGTATGAGCATTTTGCCTGACTGGATGTCTGTTCACCATGTGTGTGGAGAGCCTATAAGACCAGAAGAGGGCAACAGATTCCCTAGAACTGGAATTAACAGACAATTGTTAGCCAACCATGTAGGTGCTGGGGTTTGAACCTGGATCCTCTGGAAGATCATCCAGTGCTTCTAACCACTGAGCCATCTCTCCAGCCCTGAGGTTAATTTTTTTTATTAGCACTGAATAGTCTAAGAGCTGAAACAGCATGTCTGGGTATTTGCTGTGAGGCAGTAGAATTGCCTTCAGGAGTGAAAGCTAATCATAAGAACTTCATTCTTTTCCTCATGGGCTGTGCAGCCTTGAGCCCCCAATTACTGTTGGGCAGAAAAAGGGAGAGACTGCTATAGATGTGGCCAGTCCTGGCTTGTCCTTACTGTACAGCTGTCTCCTAGCTAGAGGCAACCGCATCCCTGACAAAGTCTATCTGTCGTCATGGCAGCCAGTCTAGGTGCTGGTTTGGCATGGGTGGAAAAACAAAAATCAAAAAAACAGAAACAAAAAACAGGTTTGATCTTGGTAAAGCCTCAAAGTTGAGGATATAGTTAAAGACTGCAGAGACAGATCCCTTCTAGAATTGGGATTCAGAGGTAACCAAAGCTGTGTTCCCCACAAATAGACCTACTGTTTCAGAAAAACAGTCTCCCAAGGGATGAAAACAAGCCAAGGCCCCAAAACCAAAAAAAAGGACATGATTCTAGAACATACCATTGGGACACCTGTGCCCTGTGCTCACTATGGCTCCTGTCTTTGTTAAGGTATGAACGACTTGAAGACCAGCTCCATGACCTGACAGAGCTGCACCAGCATGAGACAGCCAACCTAAAGCAGGAACTAGCCAGTGCCGAGGAGAAGGTGGCCTACCAGGCCTATGAACGCTCAAGGGACATCCAGGTATGGGCCCTCTCCTGGACAGAAATCCCCTGGTGTAGGATTTTTCCAGGCTTTAATTCATCAAACAGTCTAACCCGGTGCATTTCCCCAAGCCCTCCATCATGAGGGGCAAGATGTTCATTCTGTCTACATAGATATCTCCCATCCACCTCCTGGCCCCACTGGCTTATGTTGCTCATGTTACTGAGAGACTTCACACGTACCCCCATTGCCTAACCAGTGGTTTTACTACTAGCCTAATTCTAACAACTCCAAAATATTAAGACATATCACGTGTTAGGCAGCCTGCCTTCAGGAAGCTTCTTGCAGAGGCTGGAGTAGTCTAACAGTGTAACAGATGACTCTAGCAAAGACCCTACAGTACCCCAGAAATCCAGTCCAGCTATGCCCCACTGGCTGGGATAGGAGCAGGGAGTAGGGATGGCAGTCGGACATTCCATGGTAAACTTTGGATTTGAGCCTATTATTTACTAACTATTTGGCTCTAAGCAAGCTTTGAGTCTGCCCATCTGTGAAGCAATTGCTTCGTGTTTGTAAGATGGTCAAGCATCTGACTGCCAGCCCCTAGTAAAGCACTGTACTTGGTACTTAACCAATAGCCCTTTGCAGTTGCTTTTATTCTTGGCACCCATCTCTCAGATCTGGAGACAGAGGTACAAAAAGGTAAAGTGACTTGAACAAGGCCTTGCAAATTGTCCCTTAGGAATGACTAAGAAGGCTGAACTGAAAGGGAAAGGGAAGGCCCAGATGGTTGGCAGGAAGGGATGAGTAGATCCACATAACAGCTATGTCACAAACAAAAGCCAGATGCAAGCCTTCCTCCTGAGGTCCCCAGGCTGCTATGGAAGGGCCTTGGGCTTCTTAGTCATCTCTTTAAAGAAATCATAACAATAACCAAAGACAGTAATGCTCATCTCCCTTTTTCAGATCTTCTCTGTAGTCGGTGGGTATTTTCTGAGCCTACGGAAGGCTATCCACGCTCTGAACCCCACTTTACAAGAGTGTAGCCCGACGCATAATAAAAGATGAGACTTCCTCCCTAGTGTGCATGCTGCTGTCCGGCTGCAAGCATTTCATTTTGCCCTGGTGGCTGGGTTTGCTGATGCCAGAGGTCTGCTTGGCCAGTTCTGGGAAGCAGGGCTTTAGAGTTGATGGGAAACACTGTCCCCAGAGAGAAGAGGACACTGGGAAACTCCTCTCTGTTCTCTGGGTGAGGAGCCTCAGAGTCCCCACTGACTGACCTGGGGAACAGAAGTCTCATCTGTATGTGATTCTATTTTAAACATTTTTTATTACGTGTGTGTGTGTGTATGTGTGTGTGTGCGCGCGCGCGCACCCGCGGCATAGCATACACATGATGACTGGAGAACAGCTTGCAGGAGTCAGTCCCTTCTTTATACCTTGTGGGTCCCAGGAATCAAAATTCAGTTCTTCAGACTTGGCAGCAAGTGCTTTTTACCCACTGAGCCATCCCACCCGCCCCTAGGGCATCCTATTTTGGAATATCAAATACCAGGTCTAGAATATCACTGGGTGGTGTCTAAGTGTGCCATTTCCTCATTTAGGTGGTGGTTTGGATTAACCTTGTTCTCAGTTCTTTAAGAAACATATTGTGGAAGCGAGGAGGAGGTCAGATCAAGGGAGGGGCCCCACACAGGGAACTTTAACTTCTGAGGAGTCCCGTTTCCACAGTTTTCAGCTGCATCTCTAGTCAGAGCTATGAAGAGCAGCTCCATAAATGACAAAGGTCACGGAGGTTCAAAGCCAGCTCTACTACTCTGTCTCTATGTGAACCTGGCCAAGTCAGTGCGGTGCGCCTCTGATTCCTCATCTTCAAAAAGTCAAGAAGATCAAATAGAATCAGATATTTATTGTACCAGAGTCTTCGCCAGACCCATAATAAACAGCCAAGAAGTTAATGCTGGGCCTCCTTTTATCTTATGGTTAAGTAGCAACATTCCTCAAGGCTTTTAGCCATTGATCTCTCCGGTCTCTCTGTTGCCGGTGGCTGTGGTTCTCGTAAGTGAGCTTCCAGCAGGATAGGCTGGGATGTTGCATGTGGCAAGGGCCCACAGACCCACAGAGTTTTCGATGTTAAGTGATTGACCCCCTAGGCCCTTTAAAATCCTGAATATCCAGTTTAAACTACTAAAGATAACTCTTCCCTCTATTTTCATATAAAACAAGTTAAATATTCAACCAAAGAAATCCTAATTATTGTGGAGCTTAATCTCGTAGTGCCAGGGGCTAACTGCCTTGCAAGTCATTACCTAATTTTCTTAGATTTTTCTTTGAGTAAGACATTGTTAGCAGTTCTAAGGTGAATTCTAAGATTAGCCTGAGGAGATGTGGACTTCTCTACCCTAAAACTGAGTGAAAGGGCCAAACATGACAGTCCTTTGTCTTGATCTGTCACCCTTTTCACACCATATCTAAAATGGAAAAGAAAAAAAAAAATCCCGGGCCATAGCTGAAAGCAAGCCCGCCCTTCTCCACTCGCCTGTTAGTGCAGACAGCCAGCAGTGCTTAAATGTGAAGATCTGAAAAAGTTTTATCCTTTGGTCGGCAGCCTAGTGTAATGAAAGTTGCTATAGTAACAGAGAACCCTGTTCTTTGGCCCAGCGAGTATATTCAGCGGGAGAAAAGCAAATCAATGTTGGAGCCATTACACTCGTTTAAAGCCTAGAAAGGTGACCGCACTCAGCTGCACAAGCACATTGGCAAATGATTGCCACAACAGACTGGTGGAGGAGCGGGCACGCCGCACTGCCTCCCGGGAGGCGTGGGCTTTGCTCTGGAAACTGACATTCCTGTGAGTGGCACCCAGACTCTTCAGCCACCTGCTGCGTGCAGCACTGCTCCTTTCTGAAGCGGACAAAGAGAGCAGGGTGAGGCTAGTCCTTGACTGCACGCAACTTTTATGGGCCTCTCAGCTGTTCGGGAAGGCTGGCTAGAGACAAGCTGGGTCAGGGAGGGCTTCCTTTGAGAAATGTCCATGAGGATGAGACTTCAGATGTCCATGAGGATGAGACCTCAGATACGTGACAGATCCACAGGTGAAGGGAGGGGGTGCTTAAGTGTTTCCGGCAGTGTGTACTGCATGGACAGAGTCCCCCAGGCATTTTCAGAACCTGGAAAGGGTCAGTTTGGCCAGAGCACTGGATGAAAGCAGGAGAAGATGGATGCACATAGGCCAAGCAAGATTCCGAAAGGGCTTTATGAAGCAGGATGTCAGAGATGTATATCTTTCAAAGGTCACATGGACTATGGCAGGGAATATGGATTATGGAACATATGGTGTGAAATTCATGCCAAATCACAGCAAGCAAGAGAGATCCCAGCGACCCTGAGTGGACACTGTAACAGAGGGAATGGAATAAGATAGACAGTGGGTGCTGGCTGCATTGACAGAACCAACTGATGGCTGGGCAGGAGACGTGTCAAAGGATGCTTCAGGGTGTCTCATAAGAGGCCTAGTGGTGTTCTAAGAAAAGGAGTCGGGGTAGTGGGGACACAGGGTCACTGCATGCAGCGACCATGAATGTACTTGTGACTGAGTTCCACGGGGGTGTTTCCCAAAAGCTCTGTAGAGGTGAGAGTCAACCCCAGAAGAAACAGCCAAGCTAGAGATCTACAGTATCCACAGGATGCCATCTTAGGAAGTGAAGTATCAGGTTGCACTGGGTCTGGAGAGACAGCCTGGGCTGTTGACTTAAGGAATAGATTCACAGAGCAGATGGAGGCAGAGTGGCCTGCTATTGGTCCAAAGATGTTATGGTTTTCCCTTAGCATCTGCATCCTCCCTACTGTCATCACACAGACACGAGCTCCCGGAGGTGGAGCGGCAGTAGAAAAGAGGACATAACCACAGATGAGGGTGGAACAGCCTGCATCCCAGCTCCGCCCCTTTTCAGTCCCCTCCTGACAGCGCCAACAGACACCAGTGTTTCATGCCACCTTCTCACCAGTATGAATACACTGAGAAAAACAATATGAACCTTTATGGCCAGGTATGATGCTGTTTGATTGTAATCCCAAATCTCAGCACTTTGGAAGGTTGAGGCAGGAGGATTGGAAGTTTAAGGCCAGATTTGGGCTACTTCACAAGAGACCTTGTCATCAAAAAGCAAACAAAAACAATAAACAAGTAAACAAAAGGAGACCACTGTAACGCCTCCCGTAGGGCGTTTTACGGTCGAATACATGTGCGTATCCTACTCATGACAGACAGCGTAAAATGAATTTTGGGATTCCTGCCTTATACCTTTGCCTCTCACTGTTGGTTTGGGGATTTGAAACTACCAAGGCAGTAGATGTTCTGAGCTGGAGCTTGAGGTATATCTGGGCATGTGCTCCCACGAGGCCTGTGATTCCAGTGACCTCTGACCTTTGCTCTCCTCTTGCCCACAGGAAGCCTTGGAGTCTTGCCAGACACGCATCTCTAAGCTGGAACTCCACCAACAGGAACAGCAGGCCCTGCAGACCGATGCCGTGAACGCCAAGGTCCTGCTGGGGAAATGCATCAATGTGGTTCTGGCCTTCATGACTGTCATTCTGGTGTGCGTGTCCACCCTGGCCAAGTTCGTCTCGCCCATGATGAAGAGTCGCTCCCACATCCTTGGCACCTTCTTTGCTGTGACTCTTCTCGCAATATTCTGTAAAAACTGGGATCATATCGTGTGTGCCATAGAAAGAATAATCATCCCAAGATGAGCCGCCAGTTCCCGCCTTCACATGCTCTCTACGTTTTTATTTTGAAGAAAACTCTGTGCATACACTACCAAAATTTCTGAATGGATGGCTGTGCCAAAGACGGCGAGAAGGACCAGAGCTGTGCGGTGTAAATAAGTAAAGTCTCTTAACCCAGTAGCACTTGCCAACACTGTCCCTGTGCGTGGTTAGCGTGAAACTGTCCCAGAGTCCTCCTCACATGTCTCACTGCCTTAATCAGAGCAGATCTCCAGCCTGCCTATCGAGCTCGGCACGGTAAAGCCCTGTTGATGGAGCACCGTGATTGCTAACAGCTGTGTTCTGAATTCCCCTGACCAGCAAGAATATGGCAGGATTCAGGGAAGTGAGCAAACACAGGTACTGGCAGGGTTGAGCTCCTGGAGGCCTATAGAAGCTCAGTGAGTCTCTCTGTGATCAGTCCCACTTGTCCACAGGTGGCTCTGTGTCCCACTATGTACCCAGTGTTCACAGTGGTCAATGGCGTATGTCCTCATAACATGGAAATCTTCTACCTGCTTATCCAGCGAATGTCTGCCCGGACCGGTAGCACTGCACTTTACAAGGTAGACAACTAGGGTTTACAGCCGGGCTTTCCTCTTTTTAGGCCCAGGGCACCACACAACTGATTTCATCTTGTGTGGTTAGCAGTGCTCTGCCCTCAGAGCGTGCGGCTGGGCCATTGTCAAACTGTAGCTTTGACAGCTCGGGGTCCTGCAAGCCTCCCTGGGGAAGCCTACGCTCTGGTGGTTGTTAACTGTGACAAATGCCCTTAGAGGACAGGATGCACTTTATGTGATTCACTTTACTCACGGGTCTGCATGGATCAGACTGCAAAGCTTGTTCAGGAAATGAAAATGAATGACGCTCGTGTGGCCCGGTTTTCTTTTTCTCAGAGACAGCAGAATCAAACTTCATAAAACTTCTGTGTGCCGAGGCGGGACACTGGAGGCCTAAGAGGGATGTGAACTTTTAGGTCTAATCAAATGGCGGCTAGATTAGTGGGAGCCCTTTACCCAGATGAGAGCAGGAGGGTCCACTTAGGGACGTGAAAAGCACCAGGAATAAAATGAAGTCCCGTGCTGGAGCTGAGTTGCTGCTGTGTGTCCCTTAGGTACACAGATAAGCTCTGAGGTCATGGGACAAACGCACTGACAGGGACCAGAAAGCGTGCAAGAGCCGCTTGCCGTGTTGTGTTTGATGGTTGCCATTTACTGGCAAACCTGGTTTTCTGTGTACACCACCAAGAGGAGGGAGATTTTACTGGATGCTGTCAGCCAGCCAGTCAGGACTCTGGTCCTCCTACCCCGGGACCTGTTGAAGGTGTAAAGATACTCTTAAATACTTTTTTCCAGAAGAATCTCTCAGATTTACCTATCCTCACTTCTTAAATACTTTCTTCCAGAAGAATCTCTTACTTGCCAATGGATGTCCTTAGGGACATTCCCTGGGGGTTGGGGGGTGGCGGCATGTAGCAGTTTTTTACAAGTCCAGGTTATAAGAGTAGGACCCAAACAGCTCCAACCTTTGCTCCTCCCCCACTCCCAACTTCGAAGTTAATAACTCATAATTTTAGTAAATTCACAGAGTATTTAACCATCACCCCTAACCAATTTCCAGAGCCACGCTTTTCAAAAAACAGTAAATATAACTTTATGAAATACAGAGGATTTTGAAATCAGGGGTGGGGGAGTTCCCAGCTCCACTCCTATCCATGGCTTTGTCCCCACTCAGGAGACAGAGGTTTCTAGTCCAAGAAAGGGAGGAAGAGAGAACCATGTTCTTTCCTTTTTCTTGTATTTTAAAAGTCTGCTCCCTTACCTGTAGGCACCAGACTCCATCTGCCTACAAGCTGGGCTCTGTTGGCCTCCCGTTCCTGTTTGTGAATATTTCCATGCGGCACCAAGAGTGTGCCAGGGTCTGGGATGCCCGTGAATGCTGCTAGCAAGATTCAGAATGAGTTTGAATGCAGCCTTAGAGCCTTAGTTAGCTAGGGCTCTGGGAGAACCCAGGAAGAGGTTCTGTTCTCACGCCAGCACCCGCCCCACTCTTGCAGAGCCTAACAGGACCACTCTTGATTGACACTTGTCAGACCTGCAATCTGTGTTTCTTCTTCCTGGTGAGAAAGTCCAAAATAGCACACTCCACACCCTTCAGACTGAGCTTTGGACAGAATCTATTAGAAACCGGCACCATTGTGAACTGATGGGGATCGGGGGGTGGGGGGTGGGGGGTGGGGGGCATCCAAATTATCATGGATTCCTTCTAAAGAACTTAGATTTCCATCCGATTCCCATGAAATGTTAAATCACCTTCTTTGCCTGGGTATGTGCAGCTCATTTGGTCTTACAGAAAGTTTGTGAAGCTTTTTTATTTTTTTTAAATAAGATTGTATCGTTCAAAGAGATGTTGATCCCACAGTTCTTTATTCTCTCAAGGGCTATAACCCCCTTTCACTCTCTTGAACATATGACTTGCACATTGAAGAAATGAGTTGTATAAATATACAATGAGAGATAGTGATACAACTGTGAAGTACCCTGGAATTGGAGTCGATCTGTAACTGAGTCAGTCCATCCTGTGTTGCACTTGGGAGTAAACGTCTCCTGTATTTCTCGTGTTGAGAACCAGCTGTAGATGAGTGAGCACATTCCCTGATGGCCTTGGAACACGGGTGAGGGATTCTAGATGCTGGACTCTGGATCTCTGGTGACATTATCATGATCAGTCATCAGAAGAGGGATTACGGAGGACAGAACTTTAAAATACCAAGAACAGTAAATATTTAATAATTAAAAATAAAAGTAAGCAGCCACTCAGAGTGAAGCAAGCGGTGACCTCAAGTGCTCTCGCTGATTTTGGACTGTGAAGGCAGGATTCCCCATCTCAAGCTCCCGGCTTGTGGCTTAGCAGTTGTCAGGTGTTCTTGTGTTGTCCTTTGGCATTCATTCACATTAATACTCTTTAGCTATTGATTTTATTTAGGCATCGCTCTTAGTGAGTTTTTACTGCCCGGCCACTTCTCTAGCACAGGGTCAAGTGGGGGTGAGGGAGCTCATGCCCCCTGCCCCCCAACAACGAGTTACTTTGGCTCTTTTGGGTTGAATCTTAAATACCAAATTACTTTTGTGTTAAATGGCAGTGTATTGTGGCGATGTTATTGTCTTCTTCTGATGTCGAATCCAGACCTAATTGTCTGGTTTTGGAAAAACACATGTACTCATTGGTAAGAACATGTGTGATTAAACAACCTATTTTGCATGTTTTCTTAATTCTGACCTTGGGCTGAGGTATGAATACGGGCTTATTTGGAGAGATGGTTCAAAGTTAGCAGGTTAACTTTTAAGGGGTCTAAAATGACCAGTCACAGAAAACAATTAGATTGGCCTGTTTGTATCAAAAACTAAAGAGCTTTAAAACTGTGTCACTAACGGGAGCTGGGTAACTTGTTAGAAATAAAGCCAAAATATAATTTTCTGCCATGGATGGAATTCTCTGCTGAAAGAGTCTGAAAGTGATGTGTAATACCTTGGGTGTCTGAGGGTGGTTTACATGTTGCTGTTTTCATATATTTAAAGCATGTCTACTGTGTTTGTCCTAAAAAGAAACATTTCAACTAAACATGCTGTGTGTTTCAGATGCACTGGGGCAATAGCAGCAATTCTGACTGTAACATTGGGAATGCTGATTGCAACTTCTGTTGCAGAATTCCCGTCTCGTGGGATGCTACATAGTTTTGTATCTGCCTAAAATTGTAATTTCTCTGTAGATCTTCCCCCCCATGGCGGTGTCATCAATGAATTCAAAGCAGGTGCCATTATTTTTTAAACGATTGACGTTTGCTTTGGTGTTAAATAAAAGAACTAGATTTCTTAAATTTTTACACTTGTCAGAGCCCATCTCTATAATGTGTGGGGTGTGTGTGCACGCGCGCACACGTTCGACTGTGTGTTTGGATGCATAAGTGTGTGCACACGTGTGTAAAGTAAGATTAATAGACTTAAAAGTAGCTTTAGATTTAAAGAGAAGCTGAGAAGGACGTATCATGATTTCTCTGCCCCTACATGCACACCCTCACTCTTCATTGCCAACATCCCCCGCAAAGGTGGTACCTTTTATTTTTAATGTGTTATAAGAGTTTTGCCTGCATATGTATGAGTACATACATGTATATATGTGTTTGGTGAGTACAGAGGTTTAAAAAACAAAGTTATCTAATTCTCTGGAACTGGGGTTACAGATGATCATAAGCCACCCTGTGGGTGCTGGGAATCAAACCCAGGTCCTCTGCAAGAGTAACAAGTGCGCTAACCGCTGAAGCATCTCTCTAACCCCCTGAGTGGTGCCTTTGGTAGAACTGATGAACCAACGTTGTTACATCATTATCACCCAGCGGCATTGTTCATATTAAGGATATTCTTGGTTTCACTCTCTATGGCTTTAGACAAATACATAAGGACATGTATTCACTGTAGCATTATACAATAGTTTCACTCCTTAGAAAAGTCCTGTGTCCTATCTATTCATTTACCCCCTGTTGTCAACTTTAAAACTACCTTTTTGCCTCCTGTAGAAAGTGAGTGATGTGTGATGTGTGGCCTTGTTTAACCCAAGGGGAGGGGCTGGTTATTAGTCAGGACTTGGAACACTAGAGAGCAAAAGTGAAGGCTGAGGAAGTCGAGTCTGGGTGAACTGGAATGAAGGAGACAGGAACGATGTGGGAGGTGCCAGCTGATGCATGCACACTGTCGGAAAAGCCAAGAGTGACCAGGTCCTTCTACCTTGAGTAGTCTACAATGAGGGCTTCCTGTTGCAGGGGCTTTGGTGTTTGCCAGGTACCACTTTGATGGTGTATGAACTCAGCAGGGCCATGGTTCAGGTTTCATTACCCCCATCCTGTGCACAACTAGAGCTTAGATAAATGAGCTTCTTCCAAGGTCGGGACCTGTTAAGGAGTTTAGGATGCCGCCTTTGTCTTTCTAGCATCCTGCCCTCTGAGCTCTGTTTCCATGCCGTTTGCTCCATAGGTCACCCATCCTGTATCCCAAGCAAACAAAATGACTTAACTCCCAGGTGACTTGAAAGCTCTGGGAGATCAAGCCATTCTCCATCCTGGACAACACTGACTCTAGAGAGCAGAGAGGCATAACCTTTATCCTGGCTCTGGTGTCACGTGCTGTCTAAAGGTATAAATACAGGAAATTAGAATGTACCAAAGATGGCTGGCTGGGAGTGTGTATAGCCCAAAGTATTCTTAGTCTATATTTCCTAGAAATAAAAGTGAGAAAGCCGTTTTAGTCATTGATGTCTAGTTAATAATGAGTGTGCTAAAGAATGAAGCACCGTTTTCTCGGTTTAACATATCCAGGTTTCATTTCTGTGGCTGTAACAGCCCCAGCCCGGCCCCTGCCCCGCCCCCGGCCCCCGGCCCTGGCCCAATACTTCCAACAAAAAGCAATGTTGGGAAGAAAGGGGTTTGTTTTAGACCTCAGTTCCAGACAACAGTCCATCATTGTGGAGAAGCCAAGGAAGGAACTTCCACTGGTCACATCCCATCCAGAGAGAGCAGCCTCCCTGCTGTGCTCAGTTCCTTTCTCCACTGTAAAGCAGTTCAGAACCCCCTGCCTCAGGAACAGAGATACCACCCACGGTGAGCTGAGTCCTCCATCAGTTAACTTTAAACAATCCTCCACAGACAGTCCCATAAGTCAGCCCAGTGTAGACAGGCCTCACCAAGACTATCTTCCCAGGTGATTGTAGGCTGAGTCAAGTTGACAGTGAAAGCTAGCCACCTCACACGCATGTGCTCCAGGTGTAAGAGAAACAATGGAACACCTAAGAGTGTCCAGTCACAATTTGACAAAGTAGCAGAGTCTAACAGCATTTTACAATAGCTCCATTGTGTTTACAACCACAGGTGGCAGAATATCTCTACCTCTTCCCATACAGTTACTTTATATGTAACCTAATGTAGGTAAACTATTGTGGGACACACAGAGACTGCAGCCATACTAAATAGATATAACATAGATCAAAGGAATTCCACTAGCAATTCCTTTGTGTCTGAAAAAATTGTTATGTGACCCCCAAGTATATATGTATGTAAGTAGTAAATTCAACATTTACTGATAATAAATTTATTCTATTCTGTTTGTGCATATGCATGTGTACATACGTGTGTGTTCTTGTGTGTGTGTGTATGCATGTGTGCCTATATATATGTGTGTGTGGGTATGTGTCTATGTGTGTGTATCTGTGTGTCTGGGTGTGTGTGTGTATCTGTGTGTCTATGTGTGCATGTACATGTGTGTTTGTATGTCTGTGTTCATGTGTGTGTGTGTGTGTATGCATGTGTACTTGTATGTATGTGTGTGGGTATGTGTCTGTGGATATGTGTCTGTGTGGGTCTGTGTGTGTGTGTGCTTATATGTATGTGTATGGGTGTAGGTGTGTGTGTGTGTTTGTGTGTGTGTGTGTATGTGTGTGTGTGTTCTATGCACCTGTTCTATGCAAAGGTCAGAGACTGGCTTTGGACATTTTCCTCTATTGCTCTTTATCCTGTTCTTTGAAACAGAATATCTCCCTGAATCTGGAGCTCTCTGATTGGCTAGGTTGGCTGACCAATGCGTTCCAGGGACCCGTCTGTGTCTGCCACTGCTGTCCCTACCCTGCCCCCACTGCTGATTGCCACACCCAGCTTTTACATGTGTACTGGGGATCCGAACTCAGATCCTTACACTTGTACAACAAGCCCTTTACCTACTGAGCCATCTCCCCAGCCCCAAAAGATTGATCTTAAAATAATTTTTATATACATTTAATTTTTACCACTTACTAAAGACTACAGCAAATTTGCATACTAATGAGATGGGTGTGCTTATTTTTACATAAAAGCTAAATCTTGGCCCACTATTTGATATGGCAGGATGTAGACTGTCTTCAGAGTTTTTTCAGAGTTGATCGATATTTTGATTCTATAATCGCCAATGCTGGTACAACACAGTAGACGTATATTTAAGGCCACTTCGAAAAAATGTTGGAAATTCCATCCTAATCTCAAGCCAAAATTCATTTAATGATGTTTTATGAGACTATAATCAGCAAACTCAAAACACAATTTTTAAAACCAAACAGCCTATCACAACACAACCCAGAAACATATTAATTTGATCTATGTTGAGGGATGA